GCCCTGCTGGGCGCCGTGCTGGGCTGCGCGGTCGCGGCGCTCATCCCCGCGGCCGACGTGAAGGTGGAGGTGCTGCAGAAGCCCTTCCTGTGCCACCGCAGGAGCAAGTGGGGGGACATGATGCTCGTGCACTACGAGGGCTTCTTGGAGAGGGATGGCTCCCTCTTCCACTCCACGTAAGTCAGTCGCTCTGGGAACCTTGCCTTGGAGCTGGGGGTGCGTGCGTTTAATATACATATATATTTATGCCTATAGCAAATATATATATATAGTGCCCTCCTCTGAGTTCCTTCTCAGGCTGAGCCATATGATGTGACCTGCGACTATGCGGCAAAATGATGTCGAAACCCTATTGTTTTTTATTTTTTAAATTAAAATAAAGTAGCCCCGAATATGTTCATGTGTGTGCTGAGAATATGAGGGGGAGGGAGGAAATAAAAGCAATGGATCCTCATCCAGAACTTACCCTTGTTTCTTATTTTTTAGTTAATTAATACATCTTTTAGCAACACTGAACAAGCTTATCTGAGAAACCCTTTGCCTACTACATCTAGCTTGTGCTACAACTGGAAAATTCGGGTTGTCTTTACATTTTAAGAGCTGAGGAGGCACTGACTTGCAGTACTTTTAAAGATGAACATCACAGCAAAGTTCATCTCCTTCCTGTTCATAGACTGAGGCTCTAAGCTATATTCCATTTAGCTTCTGCTTTCAAATTAGCCCTTGGAAAGCAGATTATATATTAAAAAAAAAAAAGAGGTGATTGACACCCTCTCTAACAATTTAGATACAGGTTTTAATATGATACAAATGGTTTATTAGGTGCATACTTTGTGCTGTCTACAAATTTCTTTCTAGTTTCTTAGGAAAACTTCTGGAGGAGACATTAATCTCTAGTTCAGAGAAAAAAAAAAAAGTGTTTTCTAAAGCTGCCAGCACAATTTTACTTGTAGAATGGTACCTTGTCGCTGCTGAAATGGCATTTTCTTCACCTGCCCCAGAGCAGGCAATTCAACATACCAGGTAATGTAAGTAGGAACAAGATACTCAAAGGAGTTTAAGAGCCTGCAAAGACCTGCTAATGTTGCCTTTCCTGTAAGCATCAACTCGGTGTTAAAATGGGAGACAGCAAAACGCTCAAGTTTGCACAGACCTTGCCTGAAGTCTGCTTTGTAGAAAACATACAAAAGGGCTATTTTGCATGTTCACTCTTTTGTAGGCAATTTAAACTAAAATCTCACTAATTTTCTCTTGTAGCTAACCTGCCTCTCTAAAAGGAGTTCTAGTGACAATCTAGGTTTTCGTGGCTAACTTCTGTAAGTGCTGTTTCCTCGTTGAGCACCTTTCTTGCATGACTGGTAAAGGGAGCTTTTTGGCTGTAGTTAAACTTAAGCTACTGTCACTACAGTGGAGGTAGCCCTTGTGATATCACTTGGTGAAACTAGAACAGGGGAGTGGATCTCTCTTTCTAGCTAAGTGTTTTGCATGGATTTATTTCTATTCTTCTAACTCTGTTGTGTGCACATTTTTCCCCCCTAATAACTGTTTTCAAAAGAGATGTTGCTGACTGCATGGGATAGGGTAAACTGTAAATGTGGCCAAGATCTGGAAACTGGTCTCAATTTGCAGTTTACTGAGAAATGCACACAGCCTTGAATGTACGTTTTAAGTAGGGTTGCTTTTGTAGTCTGTGGAAATGAATGATCAGGGAAATGAGGGAGGGATCCAGGTGGCTCAGTGTTGTCATGCATGCCCTGTAAATGCTGTTTTATTTATCAGTGGTGTCACGCAGGGCATAAGTTCAAAGATTTTGAAGGCTTAGATCTTCCTGTATTTAAGAAATGCCAAGGTGCTGAATAAGATTTTTATTGCATAACTCTCTGCTGTGTTTGTTTTCTGTCTGCTCCTAATATAGAGCTTGCTGTTCAAAGACTAAGTATTGTATTCCCTTCTTTTCCAGCCACAAGCATAACAATGGTCAGCCCATGTGGTTTACACTCGGCATAAGGGAAGCAATCAAAGGCTGGGATAAAGGTTTGAAGGACATGTGTGTGGGAGAGAAGCGAAAATTAACTATCCCACCTTCCCTTGCTTATGGAAAAGAAGGAAAAGGTAAAACACCTAGAGTCCTCTCTTTACTTCAGTATGTTTTTGTCCATTTATTTTACTGTTATTCGTTCTGGTCTAAGAGGTTAGCAGGTTTTCAAGCTTTCCAGGCAAGTTCTATAAAGTAAGAGAAATCGATGGAGTCAGGTACTCTTTCTCACAGACTTGCTTTTTACAGAAATATTTAGCAAGTGGTTTAGTGGTGAACACAGGAATGTTGTATTTGAAGTAATTTTGCTTTCAGGAGAGAACAGGAAGCTTTTTGTAGACAGCCAGTTGTCTGAGTGTGAGACACAGCTGTACAATTCTCAGTATTCACCTACTATTCACCTAGTAGCATAATATTAGAAAATTAGTTGCCTGGACTGATGTGCAAAATTACAATTACTTCTCAAAGATTTGCAAGCCCCGCGTGTTTAAAGCAGAAACTTTGAAAGAGTGAGCGTTGCTAGTTGCTTAAGATACTACTTGTTTTAGGAAGACTTTGAAGTATTTGTCTGAATGTTGCTCAAGTGATGCCCTAGAAGAGAGACAGAATTATGTCACTTTCTCCATGCTTCCTCAGAACACGCAGGATTTTACTAGCCCCTATCCTGGTGCCTTGATTGCTGACTGACCTGAATGATGAATCAGATGCCTTATTTTGCAACCCTCAGAAATATTACCTGCATGCCAAACCCTGAGGAGGTTACTGTGGGCTGTACTTCCAGAAGTATCTGCTTATTTCTTCAAACCGTAAATCTAAAATCTGCCTGTTGCTGCAACTTGGGGTATATTTAACCAGCACAGCTCCAAAATAGTACGTGGGAATTAGTTCTGCCCATCTTTTCAAAGTGCAGGAATGTTTTTTTTTGGAGTGCTGGCAGCCATTGTGGAAATATACTTGCTTCTATTCAGCCTCTGCATACAGTGGGGCCAGGTGGTGTGCTACAAGGTCTCTGATAATAAGTTCAGTCATTAACACGAAGGAATAACACACTGTTGCAAAGCCAGAACATGAGAAACTGGAATTACTTAGGATGCGGGGAAGCAGCCCTAAGACAGCTGCAGGATACAGATAGCATTTCAGCCTGTTTGTCCTTTTCCACAGAAAAGAGTTTTGTTTTGGGTGTTTGTTTGTTTTCTCAAGTGGCAGAGCATCAGATGCAAAGGGTAGTAGTCTCTGTCAAAAATAGTCAAACTGAAACCTGCATATGTGCTGTAGGGGCTACTCGAACTCCAGGCTACAGTTTGAAGCAGTCACAGTGCTCACTGTTGCAGAGACTGGCCTCAGTAGTGCAAACAGCAGTGTTTCCAAATAGATGGCGCTAGAAGAACTTTGCTCAGACACACGGGGCTTTTGTGTGGCACTGAGCGTGTAAATGTCTTAACTTGTCTCCATGTTTAAACATTTTGGGCAGGAAAAATTCCTCCTGAGAGCACGCTGATATTCAACATTGACCTTTTAGAAATCAGGAACGGACCAAGATCTCATGAGTCATTCCAAGAGATGGATCTTAATGATGACTGGAAACTATCCAAGCAAGAGGTAAGTGGGTTACTTTTCTCGCTAACAGCGCTACAGAGCAAGGTAGTGGAAAGGGGAAGATAAGCTAAACTTATCTGAATGCTTAGAACCCTGAGGAGGTTACTGTGGGCTGTACTTCCAGAAGTATCTGCTTATTTCTTCAAACCGTAAATCTAAAATCTGCCTGTTGCTGCAACTTGGGGTATATTTAACCAGCACAGCTCCAAAATAGTACGTGGGAATTAGTTCTGCCCATCTTTTCAAAGTGCAGGAATGTTTTTTTTTGGAGTGCTGGCAGCCATTGTGGAAATATACTTGCTTCTATTCAGCCTCTGCATACAGTGGGGCCAGGTGGTGTGCTACAAGGTCTCTGATAATAAGTTCAGTCATTAACACGAAGGAATAACACACTGTTGCAAAGCCAGAACATGAGAAACTGGAATTACTTAGGATGCGGGGAAGCAGCCCTAAGACAGCTGCAGGATACAGATAGCATTTCAGCCTGTTTGTCCTTTTCCACAGAAAAGAGTTTTGTTTTGGGTGTTTGTTTGTTTTCTCAAGTGGCAGAGCATCAGATGCAAAGGGTAGTAGTCTCTGTCAAAAATAGTCAAACTGAAACCTGCATATGTGCTGTAGGGGCTACTCGAACTCCAGGCTACAGTTTGAAGCAGTCACAGTGCTCACTGTTGCAGAGACTGGCCTCAGTAGTGCAAACAGCAGTGTTTCCAAATAGATGGCGCTAGAAGAACTTTGCTCAGACACACGGGGCTTTTGTGTGGCACTGAGCGTGTAAATGTCTTAACTTGTCTCCATGTTTAAACATTTTGGGCAGGAAAAATTCCTCCTGAGAGCACGCTGATATTCAACATTGACCTTTTAGAAATCAGGAACGGACCAAGATCTCATGAGTCATTCCAAGAGATGGATCTTAATGATGACTGGAAACTATCCAAGCAAGAGGTAAGTGGGTTACTTTTCTCGCTAACAGCGCTACAGAGCAAGGTAGTGGAAAGGGGAAGATAAGCTAAACTTATCTGAATGCTTAGAGTTAGATTTTAGCACTAGGTGAAGTGTCAAGTGGCATTTTAACATATGCAAGTTGCAATTCACCCTGCCTCTTGGTCACTCTTGTTCAGGCAGTGCTTACTATCCACAGAGCAACTCTGCAAGCAGAATATGTACTACATTAAGAGCACCTAAGTTATGAATATGTGTTAGTTATAGAACACACAGGATAGGTAGCTGGGAGCAAGAAGCTGTTAGGCTAACTGTTAATATGGTTGCCATGAATGAGAAAATGCCCTAGAAGTCTTTGCTAGAGGTGGGTTGGAGTGGGATGAGCCTTGCAGTTGTTACTTCCAATTTTCTCCACCTCCCTCTACCTTGCTTATCGTTCAATCAGATACACTGAAGATAGTTGTATCATCTCCTATTACTAAAGAGTCTGAGCAGGGCTACGAAATCAGTTTTAAAATTAAGAAATTGAAATTGTTTTGAAAGTGACCTAGAAAGGCATGTAACGATTGTCTAATACTACCATCCCAAACCGTATGACCCTCTATTACACTGCAGTAGTGCAATTCTTTCATAAGCTTGCCAAATACTAACTCAACCTTTGTGCAATAGGTGAAAATTTATTTGAAGAAGGAATTTGAAAAGCATGGAGCAGTGGTAAATGACACCCAGCATGATGCTTTGGTGGAAGACATATTTGATAAAGAAGATGAAGACAGTGATGGATTTATTTCTGCAAGGGAATTCACTTACAAGCATGATGAGTTGTAGAAAAATGTGGCAGAATTTCTTATGATGCAGAAATGGCAGTGACTTGGAGAATGTTGGATTCTCTCATCTTCTTTATTCATTGTTTTCAAGCTGACAGTTGTTGGTGGCAAAAAAACAAGTTTTTTATATTAAAGAGAATTTCTGTTCATTATGTATAAATGTTTAAGCTATTGAAAATGTACCTCTGTTCATGCAGCAGCTGTGCATATAATTTTTTTAAAAAAAAACAAAAACACTTTTGTATTAACTTATTTTTTGGAAATGGAAAAAATTTTCCAGATATCGAACTTTGTGAAAATCAAAATCCAGGTCAGTGTCTTTCTGTTTGTGTGTGCGCAGATGTGTTGAAGTCATTTCCAGGAAGTTCTTAATGCATAACTTCTAGCCTGTGGCTTATTTACTTGGTCTTGTTTTTTGTGTAAGTCGCTGCTTGAAAAGCAGTGTGCCCAATTCACTTTCTGAAGATTTTTTTTTTTTAGAAAGATACACTAGAAAGCATCAGCATCTCTTCCTGTAGCTTAGTAACTGATACAAAGCTGTACAAAAAGATAACTCTTCTATGCTGATTTTGCTCTTCTAGAGGGAGTGTGTTACCAACCGTGACAATAATTGTGTTCTTTTTTTTTAATGAGGTGAACAATGTGGGAGTTGAATGTCAGACTTGTTTGTTTGCCTTTGTTTTTTTCCCCGTATCAGTAATATTCTAGGAAATCCCTTAACCTGTAAAACTGCAAGTTGTGCTGGGGTGCATGGGTGATGTTCCTGCCTGTCCTGGCAGGAACATCTGTCAAAAAGGAGCTCTGAGTTCAGAGCTGCTGCCTGGGGGCTTTGCTCGAGGCGGTAGAGGGGCACGAGGCAAATGCAGCCCTGTGAAAGGGGAGTAGCACAAGGCACTAATGCCACGTGAGTATCACCATGGGAGGCTGCAATCCCAGTGCTTGGGGATGAGCGAAACTGCTCTCCATGCCCTCTAGTGGGGCAAGAAGCATCAGGAAACTGCTTTGTTCCGCTCTGTGTGGCACAGCGTTAGGAACTGGCTAGAGATCCTTGTGTCTTTTCTGACAATGGTCACTAGTGGGGAGAGCAAAGTAAAAAAGCCCGAGTGTGTAATGGGCTTTTGGAGTGTGGGTTTCGTGGTAGGTTTGTTTGTTCTTTATTTTTTATGAGGGGGAGGGGAAGTCATTGTTTAGGGTGTAACCCACAAAATAGCAGATGCTTATCTGACAGGACAAGGGTGGCCACATGTTCTTGTTTCAAGAACTTTTCAATTCCCTTTTCCTTGAATCCTCTCATGTTTACTTCCACAACATTATCTGATGGTGAGTTTTACTGTAGAACTGCGTAGAATCATAGAATCCTTAAGGTTGGAAGGGACCTCCAGAGATCATCTAGTCCAACCCCCCTGCACACGCAGGGTCACCTAGAGCACGTGGCACAGGACTGCATCCAAGCAGGTTTTGAAGATCTCCAGAGAAGGAGACTCCACAACCTCTCTGGGCAGCCTGTTCCAGCGCTCTGTCACCCTCACTGTTAAGAAATTTTTCCTTAAGT